GACAGTTGTAGACAGCACAACAGAATCCCTATTCACAGAAGAATGTCTCTTTTCCCAGGATGTCCTGGATATCCTGGAAGTAGGCCACACCCCCAGGGAAACTCCCCTTGAACAGATTGGCCACTCAGAACGCAGTCATCCAATCCCATCATGGGAACAACTACATAGAACTGCGGTCTAGCTAAGTTGAAACACAGCTCCAACTGTCACAGTGTTTTAGGTACTTCCATAACTGGGCTGATTTCTGGGTTATTTCATCATGTGTGTTAATGGTTGCTTGTTGTTTGCTGTTTTTGGTTCTCTGTTCAAAGGAGTCTCTTTAGCATCTCTTATATGGTTGGTCTGATTTTACCAAATTCCCTTAGTTTCTGTTTATCTGGAAATCTCCTAATTTCACCATCATATTTGAAGGACCATTTGCCGGATACATAATTTTTGGTTGGAAATTTTTTTCTTTCAGGGTTTTATATATATATCATCCCATTGCCTTCTTACCTGCATGGTTTCTGCTGAGAAATCAGAGCTAGGTCTTTTACCTAGTTACTTTTGCATATAACTTTTTGTTTTTTCCATGCTGCTATTGAGTAGAGACAGCACCTAGGAACCCCAGCAAACAAGTAGTTTCAGTGCACTCATTCTAGGTGGTACTGGTTTAAAGCAGAATCTAGCCCAGAAAAAGGTCTCTAGGAAGGGTTAGGAGAACTGGTAACATAGTGCCTAAGGCATTTGCTACCCAGAAGGCTGGCGGTTCAAACCCACCAGCCACTCCTCAGAAGAAAAGTTGGGCAGTCTACTTCCGTAGTGATACCACCTCGGAAACCCAACTAGGGGTCACTATGAGTCGAATTTGACTCCATGGCAGTGGTTGCGTTGTGTTGCATGCTGCTTTCAGGATTCGTTCTTGGTCTTTGGTCTGGTGAGTTTGATGATGATATGTCTTGGTGATTTTCTTTTGGGGTCTATCGTGTTTGGGGTTCACTGGACTTCTTGGATGGATATATTCTTTTTATTATTATTATTATTTATTGTGATTTGGGTGCAGATTTACAGAGCAAATTCGCTTTCCATGCAGCAGTTCACATATACTTTGTCACATGTCATTGCCCATAGTTTACCACAATGCAACGGCTCTCCTCCCACTTCCTCCCCATAGTTACCTCTTCCCAGTGTGAATGGATATATTCTTGTCTCTAATCACATCAGGAAAATTTTCTGCCTATAAAGCTTCGATAATTTTCTCTGTGGTTTTATTTGTCTCTTTCTGTTCTGGAATTCCAGTTACATATAGGTTATTCCTTTTGACAGTATCCCACATGAATTTTTGGGTTTTTCTTTTTGTTTTTATCTTTTTTCTGATTGATCCCTTTCCAGAGAAGTACTGAATTATTTGTCTTCAATCTCACTAATTCTGTCTTCCATTGATTCATTTCTGCTCCTTTGCCTGTTCAATATTTTATCTATCTGTTTCTGAGAATTTAGTATTAATCTTCTGGATTTCTATCTATAGATTTGTATCATTTCTAATTTTTCATTTATTTCTAATTTTTTTCTTGTATTGTCTTCTGAAATTGTTCTAGGGTTTTCTCTGTGTTTTCCTCAATTTTGTCAGTGTTTTTCTTGATCTGTCTCTCAATCTGTTGAAGGTACCTAAATCTAATTATTTTGAATTCCTTATCAGGGAGTTGTAAAACTGCTTCTTTCTCGGGATGTGTTCTGGGTATATATCCTGGTCCCTTGTTTCTTCTGCTTTATCTTACTTCTCTGTGTGGACTGTGATTCTCTGTTGTTTCTGAGACATCGTGACATTTTTGTGTTTATATTTAATTGGTGATTGTATGTTGGAGTGATTTTCATAATATTTTAGTTTTGTTTTTTTGTTTGGATGTATCTGAATAAGCAAGGTATATTGTGCTACTCTATTTACTAGTGCTGCTATAAACAGCACTTATGCACTCACCACCTGTCTCCTTTCCCATTGTTAGCCTCCTGTATGTCCCTGCCATCCTTGGCAAATGAAGCCTATTCTTAGGTTCCTGAAATCCAAATGAGAATGCTGTCACTTTAAAATTCAAAATGGCCACCACTTATAAATATTCAAAATGGCTGTCCCCTTGGTCACTAAATATCCAAAATGGCCACTGCTTGTAAACAAGAGAAATGATTGTACCCTCGGTCACTTTAAATATCTAAAATGCCTGCCACTTGTACACTTTCAAAGTGGCTGTGCCCTTGGTCTCTTTAAATATCCAAAATGGCTGCTTCTTGTAAACAGTCAAAATGGCTGTGTCCTCCGTACAGCTGAAAGTCCACAGCTCAGGTTGTCTTCCTCCTTGCTGTTTCCTTTCCCAGTCATAGGCTACCAGTGCAGTTGTGCCTGCAGCCCTTGGCAGCCAGGGCTTATCTTTAGGTCAGTTATCAGGCCCCCGCACTGCTTGGAAATATTCAGGCTGTTGGTCCTGTCAGAGAAGCTTACTGCTCCAACTGTCTCCATACGCACTGTTTTCTTTCAGGTTTTTCCAGTGTTGTTGTTGTTGTTATGTGCTGTCAAATCAGACTGGACGCATAGCGACCACTCCTTGGGTTACTGAGGCAGTATCACTACGGAAGTAGATTGCCCAACCTTCCTTCCGAGGAGTGGCTGGTGGGTTTGAACCACCAGCCAGCCTTCTGGTTAGCAGTCAAGTGCCTTAGGCACTATGCTACCAGAGCTCCACTAGTTGGTGCCTAATCTACTGCTTTATACTTCCTTTCAAAGCTCATGGCTCCAGGATTATCTTCTGTATGTCTATCAATTGGTTTGTCTTTTCTTTATTGAAAAGAGTCTGTGTAGTTTGTCTGCCTATTCTACCATCTTTCTGGAAGTCCCACTGGAAAACAAATTTTTTAATATTAATATGCACGGCAAAATGGTTGGATGCGTCACTTTTTTAATATTAGAGAATTTCAATAGTATCTCAATTTGTTTTATTTTAAATAGCTTGTTCTTGGTTGAACGGTGTGAAGTGTGTGTATGTATGTGTGTGTTTGTGTGTGTGAATTTGGGTTGTTTTTCTGGATTTTTTTCTTTTTTCTGAGACCAGTTTATTTTATCCTAAGTACTTTATACCCTTGTGTGATGCTTGTAGTTGAAGTATTTTTAGGTAATTCCTGCCTACATTTCTAAGTAAGAGATAGATAGGATATCCCTTGTATTTTCAACTCTATGTATTTTTGCCCATTGTATATACCATTTAAAAATAATTACTAAAGGTCATTATAATAGCAAAAAAATAATAAAATGAAAGGACCATTACATTTTTATTTACATTGTTTTGTGGCCTGAAAACAAGTTTATAAGTCTGATTTCGTGTGAATACTATGTAGGTAATCAGAGTTGCTTTTTCCAAGTAAATTAAAGGTATATTCATTGCTTCAGCAATAAGTATTGAGTAATAATAAGACAGTAAATATATGATAGATGAGTAAGAGAATGAATCAGGAGAAGTTCTGTAGATATTGTGAATAATTTTAAAATATGCAGAAAAATAAGGAGTTCAAAAATAAATACTAAATACAATAAATGGTTCATTTTAGGTTATAGAGAATCATCACTCTGGATCTCAGACTGTGTCCAGTAATAATCATGAGAGCAAAACAGATAATGGCTGTTTAGTTGCTGTATCAACTCAAGATGGGGCTGAGGGAGGAAATTATCACAATGAATCTTGTCAGAATATCTTAAAGTAAGTTGTTGATTATACCCTCTCTTTCTCTTTTTCTTTTTTATTTTATTGTGATTTGGGTGAAGATTTACAGAGCAAATTCACTTTCCATACAGCAGTTCACATATACTTTGTCTCATGCCATTGACCACAGTTTAC